GGGGAGCTCCTAAAAAAATGGGCTCAGAGGCCAATTTGGACCCCGGTCTAGCTTTTTTGTTGGTCCATCCCAGAATTCTCCCCAAGCTCGTTCCCAAACTTGCTGAGCTTTCAGCTTGGGTTGGCTGTTCACTAATAACTCAGGGGCCAGCACAGATAATGGCTGGGTTCACACAACATGCCAAGACCCTAAACTTGGGTCAACAAAATACATGCAATGTCCAAATAAACCATATGATGGCTGAACGGGATAGGCAGTGTTCAGACAATAGGTGAAGAGATTGGCTGGATTCCCACAACATGCTGAACCTGATTACCTAACCCATTTAGCCCAGCATGTCGAATGCATGTCACTATACGCCAGACATGATGAATTTGCTTCTACTCTACTGTCACCAGAGGGCTGTAGCAAACGCCTATGCTAACTCAAGGTAGACTCTCTGGATAAATGCAAGAAAAGCTGCCACGAGGGCAAGAGTCTTCTTCCTTGCCAGTAGCCATTTCCAAACACCTAAGTCCCTGTTCCCAGGCCACCAACTATCTCATCCCTTTCAAGCCCTGATCCTTGGGCCAAATCGGGACAATCTCAAAGTATGCTTGAAATTTCTTTAAAAAACCAAACAAACTTAAAAGACTGAATGCTCAGTGATTAAGGAAAAAACAGACGCAGGCTGCCTGGGGAAGAAACATTGGAGAGAATTGCTGGTTGAATTGGGAATGAGGACCCTCCGATGACATTTCTGCTGCAAGTCCCCACTTGTACTTTTCTAAAAAAGGAACTTGTATAAAGTCGTATCTCAAAGCTCCATTTGTCACCGAGGACTTGACCTGTCACTTTCCCCCTCATGCCTGAGAAGACTGCTAAAGGTTGGTGGCAACAAGGCTCAGAATGGCATTTTTATACAGGAGTCAAGAAATGGAGCGGCTGAGAAGGTCAGTGATTCCCAAGGGGGATTTCAGAAGAAAGGGAGAAAGAGAGAGTTACTGCTTGCTTCAAAAGGGGGTGTACAAAGCTCCTGATATCTGGATGGGCTGGTTGTAAAGGGCTGAGGGACGTCTACCGTGAATAGATGAAGCTGATTTTCTTCACAAGGAGACCATTTTCTCAGTTAGGCTACAACCTGGGACTCTGTTTGGTGTGGCTCTTCAGTTTCTAAGATGAGGGGATCCCCTGCCTTTTTCTGCCGTGATCATTCCAACTGGATTGGGAACAGGGTTGAAAAGAAAACTGGCCCTCTTGGAATGTCCTGACACAGCTTGAAGTTCTAGACAAAAGAGACTCGTAGGGCAGAAGTGGGCATCTTGGGCCCTTGAACATGGCTCCAAATTCCTCTTTGGCAACGCCTACCTGCTGGACCACCCAGTTAGACAGCCTGATTGAAATTCTGCAGAACCTTTTCCCACATTGCACGGTAGATCGCACTTTGCTGGGTCTAAATGGTAAGGGAGAAGAACACACATTTTCGGTGTAGAAGAACAACTACGTCCAAGTAGAGCTTGTGGAGACTCCTGCTGGCAACCCATATTGCTGCTGTCTCTCAGCATTGGCCATACAGCTTCATCCCTTGCCAGTCTGTAGTGAGGATCCAACCACAGACAGATGTGTAATGGGTTAGGCCAACCCAGCTAACTGCAGCCTATTCAACAAATCATGATTAAGCAAGAGTGTCCAGGTGGGCAACAGAAACTTACAAAGCTTACTCCAGTAGCCTAGTTTTGATAATATTTGATCCTTCCTTAACTGTGGTTTATGATGCTTAGACTGACCTTCAAGCTGAGTTCCTTACACACTGACTTTAACGCAAAGATCTTTCCTTGTAACATTACTGAGCAATGTTTTACTGGGTGGATACTTTTCTGTCTAGATTTTTGCTTTAACTGGTGAACCTCTGAGTTTGATCAAATAACTGCATTTATGGAATACCACTGTATTTTGTAAATGTGCTAAGCTAGCCTGGAGGGGTGTTTACAGACTAGGAGGGCAGGATATAAAAAGCGAAATCAAATCACCAACTCATCTGAACCCTAGAGCCACTTTTGCAACTACTTTTAAATCCTTGTCATCTCTCCCTCCTCTCTCCTTCCAAAATGCCACTTTTCTTGGCTGAGCTAGCAGGGATTGCAGCCCCCAAAACAGCTAGAGGGAAAGGCTGCTCTTTATAATAGAGACAGCCCATGCTGTGACAACCTGGCCACCAGCTGTGCTGGCTAGGGATTATGGGAGTTATGGCCCAACGCATCTGGAGGGCGCCAGATTGGGAAAGGGTGAGTTAAGCACACCCATCAGCTGTTTGTACTACTTAGGGAAGGAGAGAGAAAGTTTGACACCAGGTAAACTGATAAAAGTCACCTGGAAAAAAAAAAGGTGAACAAAAGGGGTGAGTGGGGGGGAGGAAGATGTTGAGGAGGGGACGGCAGGAATAAGCAGAGGACCATTCATCGCGCCTAACGACTTGTTCATTATGAGTGATGATGGATAAAGACTTCTCATGCTGAGATGAAATCAAGATTTATACGCATTGTTTCCTCTCTCAACTTGTGGGAAGATCATCATCATCTAATTCCATCTCGGCGGCCAGCGATGGGCATCCGGAGAGCCGGTTATCAAACGGCGCAGTCAGCTGGCAAAAGCTGGAACGTGTGGCTGGCACATCTGGACAGGGCCGCCAGCAGCCGAGGGTGAACGATGACGCCTGGCAAGGAGCCAAATGTCTTGCAGACACCAGCAGGTTTTCATCTTTGCCGCCCCAACCCATGCGCGCTCTGTCGTCGTCTTCTTCTTCTTCTTCTTCCCCTTCTTTTTTTTTTAAAGAATCAGATTTTCATTGCTTCATTCAATTGCTCTCCGCTGCCATTTTTTACAGCTCTTATCGTTCCCCTGGAATACGGCCTTGAGACAGCTCATCCATGTCCTTTGCAGTGTTATCTCTTCTAACTTTTATTAAAACTTCAGCTTTCATCTGAAGATAGCTAATTAAATCTGTGACAGATTATAGACTCGTTTGGAGAAGAAGTGGGGGCTGGAAACCGGGCTCTACCACTTTTTCTAAACAGAATCCTGGGTGGGGAATTATGTTCTTTCTTTCAGCACAGTTAAAACTAAAAGGACTGGTAGTGGGGAAAAAAGAAAGGTTTCATTCATTTAGCCAAGACAAGATGTTATCTCTACTGAGTCTATAGATAGGTTTATATTAAAGTTCTTTGTGGTGTGACAAGACCCGGTGCCATTTCTCACCATAATTATTTCTTGATGTCAAGAAAGATTTTCTCGGCTTTGGGGCTTTAAGGCTGTACCTGCACAGGCCTCCAGCTACCAAATGAGTTTCTTGACAATTAAAAGCAAGAAGACCTAAAGCTTTTTTTCTTCTTTCCAAAACAAGAAACACCTAGCCAGATGTTAGCGCAAGGAGAGATGTTTCAATATGCTGAAAGAGATTGTCGAATGAAGCCTGTTATTCCGGAAGGCCCTCCATTTGCCCAGCCTAAGTGTATGCATATCACAGAGGAGTTGATTCCTCTGTATTTGGAAGTCCTTACTCTCATGAAAGTTCACACCGCTTTTGAATCCCAGCAACTCACTGTAAAATAGAATACAGTGATTTGTAAGACGAACCTTGAGTTTCCACTAAAAGAGCTTTCAATTCCTAAAAGCAAGGAATTCAAAGGAGGAGCCTATCTTTGATTCTGAAAATACCTTAAAAGATGAAATAATAAAATTGGAATACAGGTTTGCAAAACAGTTCGATCTCAAACGTCCAGTTTTGAGTACTTTGGGCACGAAGCAAAGTCCAGAGAGAATCGTCTCCAAGTTGGAGCGAAACCTTCTGTTACTTTCTGGCCTTGAACAAAATATCTTCCAATTGCAAGAAACAAGATAGGCTGGTTCAACTCTGAAAGGGGACGCCTGATGCAAAATACATAGGTGTCAAGAGTTTTGTGAACAGTCAGCATAAAACATTCAAGCTGTTTCCATGTTTGTTCCAAAGGAGCATAGCCAACTGGAACATTCTGATGGAACGTTTCAAACAAGGATGGTCCCCTTCTGTGTGTATTACCCTAATTTGGAATTAAAGGTAAATTTTGACATCAGTTTTCTCCATACCAGGGATGGGCGATCTGGGGGTGGGGGGAGCCCTCCAGAAATGGCTAGAGCACCCAGAATCCCTCTCTACTCCCCATGTTATTGAATGCTTTGGGGGATATACTTCTGTAGCATCTAGAGAGTCACTTGTTTTCCTGCCCCTGATTGATGTGCATGTTTAAGAAATAGCCAAGAGAGCACAAACACTTTTACCCGAAGGCTTAAACGTCTTAAATTGTTGAAAGAGCTGATTGTGAGTCTCTGACATGCCATTTGCACAAGTCAGAAAGTTAAACTCGCCCTGGATTCTCCAGGCTAAAGCAGAGAGGATAAAATACAAGCGGCTCCACCAGCCTTCAGGAGCGCCGGCTAGTAACGTGCCTTGCTTCCAAACAATTACCGAGAGGTTGGGGGCACGCTCCATTTGGGAAGACAATGGGGCATACAGCAGTGGCAAAGGGGCAGGCGCACCATCACGCTGAGCAGAGACATAGCTCCAGATTTACAGTCTGAATCTATTTCTTCTGAGACGAATGCTTTTCTAAAAAATAAAATAAGCACATTGCAAAAAAAGAGTAAAGGCTCGCTCCCATTTGTAGGAGAAAGTCAGCCTGCTGTTTTGTGAGGGAAAATGCCCAAGTGCCCACACAGAGATGCTCACCCTAAAGCAAAACCCAGGTGAAAATAACTATAAAAACAGTCAGGAGGCCTTGGCTGTGGATATACTGAATGTCTGCTTGCTGTTCAAGGACCTGGAAGGGATGTTCCTCTCAGAGCACAGCGATAGCTGAACTGCTTAGAGTTGCCACTCAGCACATTTCCACAAGAAAAGCACGATTCAGAAGGAAAGGAATCAGGTGCCCAGCAATAAAACGCGTTCCCCTCCCCAAAACAAGTGCAGTAAAAGTTCACACCCCCACCTGAGCCTCGCTGTGACCCTTTCCTTCGCTTCAAAGCCTTTTGCAAAATATCCTTCATGGTGACCTTCATGCTCTCCACCTGGATCAGGGAGAATCCATGCGCGGCGTTTCTGCAAGGCACAGAAAAAGAGAGTGAGTTGCACAGACTGGTTCATGTACGTGCTTGGCCCTGGCTGTCGCAAAGTGGTCACCAGGGGGCAGCTTATGGCAGGCAAAATCGTGAGGACCATCAGCCAGTGCCGGATTTTTATTTATTTTTTTTTACAAGCAGAGAAGGAACAGAAAGAGGAGGAATGTGGAATGCCACAGGATGAACCCAACAGGAGCAGTAAACCCAACTGATGCGGTTCTCGGAGCAAAAGGTTGCTTGCCGAGTTTTCTGCAGCTGCAGGACTTCCGAGGCGGAATAATCTTCTCCCACCCCATTTCCACGTTCCAGATCTGGCTCTAGTGCAGCAAGAAGGCGGCGTACAAATTGCTTTACTAAATAAATAAAACAAAACTACTGCCTTTGTTTGTTCTGGACCTATTGTGGCCCAATTTCAAAGGTGAAATAGGCCCAAAACAAACCTGAAAAAGGTTGGTGGTTCTTGTTCCATTTATTCAGTTTATCACAGCCCCCACCACCACCCCAAGCTCAAAACCTACCCAGGTAGGATTCTGGAGGGCTGTGAGGGATCTGAAAAAGTTACTAGCTTCGAGGGTGCATTAAAGCAATGAAATTCCACTCCATCTCTGCACATCTGATGTGGCTGTGCTTGGACCCCATGAGCAGTGGGAAAGGAGCACGTTCAGTCTGGAGCAATTAATGCTCTTTAGCTGCAGACACAGCTGTTTGTTTGGACTGAACCCTGAACTCCTCTGCATATCTTGGATGGAATCGAAACACTCCTAATTAAGGGCGTTGCCAAAGACGGCAGATCTGGAATACAACCCTGGCAACGTGCGATGCTTGCCGTCAAAACAAGGCAAGTGTTACAACCCTGCGGATTATTTGCTTTGGATCCTATTCCAGGCCAGAGCAGCTTTTCCCATCCACCTTCTTCTTTACTTTCCAGAAACGGCAGGAAGTCAGCGTTCCACCCTCTCCATCGCATGTTAGAACACAGCTTGTCCGTATCTTTAGAGCTACGAGATGGAGATGTTGCACCCGGCATTCACACAAGTGAGGTCCGGGTGCCATGGGAATAAGCTTATATTGACCTGAGATTTTCACAGCAGGAAGGTGATGGACATCATGTTGCTGCTCTTACACCAGAAAGCTGAGGAGCAAACACCAGGAAGTCTTTTATAAACCCATGACACATATGTAATCCCATGCTGAACCCAGTTCTGACTTGAGCTGGGATATATCTAGTATCTACTTACAGTTTAGGAAGCGAGAACATGCTATAATTATCATCTTGCTAGTAGCGCTCTATGATATCATTTTTTTATACCACTTTGTATATTGTATGAGGGAAGTTCTAAGGCATGAAGCCTGAAGAGATCCTACTCTTCTTTTTAAGAGGCCAGAAGAATTGGCTGTGGTTACCTTTCTCCCATCTTCTTTTTAGTTGTTCTCTATTCCTACACATCCCAGGGATCTAAGCGCAGCTTTGGACCCAAAAGCTTCACAAGCAAAGAAAAATAAGGTCAGGCAAGACGTAGGAGGTATTGGCCCAGGAGTAACCTCCAGAGGTCCCACTAGCACCGCCACCAATCTGCCTCATCTCTTTTATATTGTTGTTCACTGCTTGTTTAGACTGCATTTTGCAATTACTGTTTTGGTTTTAAATCTAAGCTTATCTAAACACCTCAGTAGATGAACAGGATAGAAATGACAAATTATTATCATTAGCTACCTCCCCTTTGTAAAACCTGCATATGGTCTTAGCCATTTCCTTGATGCCAAAGTTGTTTAATAATAAACTCAGGACTGACTGCACAGCTCTGGTCCAGCACAAATGGACATTCAAGGACCAAAAGTATGTTTTTCTCATCTTTTCCATAGTAGAGGTTCAAACATCTTTCAAACAATATCTGAAAGGGAATTTTATTAGTTTGTTAGGGAACCCTCATTCAGAAGATCAGTAATGCCACACCTCCATCGCTGGAAGACATCTTGCAATGGTTGCCCATAGTTCAATTTTTTTGAAACTGAGCTATACATAGGCAGCAAGGAACCATTGGTCATCAGAGCTAAAAAGGGCCAAGGCATGTCAGAGCAGCCTCCCCAATCTGGGTGCTTCAGAGTTGGGATTCCCCAGTCAGGACAATCTTGGGAATTGTCCATAATTCCCCAACTTTAGGTTGCTAAGAACCAGCTTAAAGAGAAGACCACCGTTGGCCAGAGACGCTTCCTCTTCTAGTCCCGGTGGCTTTTTTCATGAGCAAGCTGGGCCCAGCTGGGAAGTTCTGGCTCACACCCTGACAGCTGAGTAACAACTAAGTAACAGAGGAAAAAGTAAACTTTCCTCTTATCTAGCAAGTACAAAGCTGTTATAACAACTGATGAGCATTTGGCCTTCCACAACCATCAGAGAAGTCAGGAAGATGTTGGCTAAAAGCTTAATCTTAGGCTGCCATTGTACAAACTCTTACATGGGGGGGGGGGGGGGGTTTCCA